ACTCTAAAGCGGTACTAAACTGCAGTGGAAACGCAAACCGAGCCGAGCCGAGTCGTACCACGCAGTGGAAAAGTGCCATATGTAAATCTAATCCCGTCCGAATAGGGCTGAACACACATCTACACACATTCACAACCACCTTCACTGACACTGTCTTTCCACTCTTCTGTAGGCCTAGTCTTTACCCTCTGTGGATTTTACTGTTCAATCGTCAGTAATCGTTACACCTGTAGATCTATGGAGCCAGATCGGCCTCAAAAATAATACATTTATAAAACAAAATTCATAAATGCACAGCACAATTTACATTTACAAAATCCGATTCGTAAATTCAAAACACAATTCATAAATACAGAAGTAAAAGCATAAATATTTCCCCGAATGCTCACACAAAAGCATCTTACCTAAATAAATACGCACATGTGACGATTTGCAAATGCAGATTCAACGATTCATAAATACATGTAACATCATTCATACATGTGTGATGGAAATTAATTCAAGAACTTGATATATATATATTTGTGTAAACATTTTAAATTTATTTATGTAAGATGCCTTTGTGTGAGCACTCGGGGAAATATTTATGCTTTTACTTCTGTATTTATGAATTGTGTTTTGAATTTACGAATTGGATTTTGTAAATGTAAATTGTGCTGTGCATTTATGAATTTTGTTTTATAAATGTATTATTTTTGAGGCCGATCTGGCTCCATATAGATCTGGATCTTCCTGTTTTCATCATGTTTCCAATATTTGATCCATATCACACGAGTAAGAGTGCTGTTATTCTGAATATCAGTACGGCTGTGATTGGGCCGGAGCTGATCACATGACTGATATCCAGCACTACAGACACACTCACACTGCTGTTATACAGCAGATCAGTAAATGAGAAGTTAGTACATTTATTAATACTTAAATATGAAAAAGTATTAATTTAGCCAGATATATATTAGGCAAGATATATATGCATCATACACAAGACATTAAATAAACTGTAAAATGATTCATGTTTATGGTCTGTTTCATTTTCTGCTGAAGTGACGTTAATATCAAGTCACTTAATTTCAAACACAAATGTCCAGAAATCCCACAGTTATGGAAAACCTGAAAATATCAGGGAATTTGAAAATTGTGATATCCAGGCCTGAAAAAGAAAAAGAAAATGGAAAATTGATGGATATCCTTTTATAGGATACTTTTATATTATTTTTTAGGAAAGAGTGTAATGAATAAAAATATATCTATTTTTATTCATTACACTCTTTCCTAAAAAAAATAATTTGAGTGTTAAATTGCACTGGATTAAAACTAATTATGAAAGTTTAAAATAAATCATGTTAATCCTGGTCCTTGGCAGGTCTTAACATTTGGAAAATAAAACCTCAGATAAACAACAATACATGACATATTGCATCTTTTTAAATAAAGCCAAAATGGAAAAGCCATGGGTGACAAAGTTAGGACTCCCTTACTGTTCAAATAGGAATTAAGAGGGTAAGTAACGGTCAGGCACTGCTAATCAAATACCTGTGATCAGCAAGTGTGAGCAGCTCTATAAAAGCAGACGTTTGGCAGCTTGCTGGTCTGGAGACTTCAGGTGTGTGTTAACACAATGCCAAAGAGGAAAGACATCAGCAATGATCTTAGAGGAGCAATTGTTGCTGCCATCAATCTGGGAAGAGTAATACAGCCATTTACAAACAAGTTGAAGTCCATCATTCCACAGTGATTTTATTGTTTGGGGCAAAAGTGAAAACCCAGTATTTTATTTATTTATTTATTTAAATAATATAAACACTTTCGAATGAATCTAAAATAATTATGATCAATTAATAATTTGATGTAACAGAAAATGCTGGATTTGCTTATTTAAAATCAGCAGTGGAGACTTCAGAGGATTTGAAAAAGGTTTCATTGATGTAAAATACTAAATGGTATTTAATATAAATCCACTTTAGCAATTTAGACAATTAATAAATTATTTACAGGCCTCAATTTTTAATTGAAGGGAAGTAAGAATAGCAATAAAAGACCTATAGATGAAAAAAATTAACATGTTTGAAATGCACTTTTAATTGTTTATTAAATAATAGCTGCACAGTGAAGGAAGACTCGCTCAGTCACTGGTCGCCACTTACTGGTGTAACACACAGAAAGACTACATTTACATTTTCTATATAAAACACTTGTTAACATACGATATTGCTAAACCACCAACAAACGCAATAAAAGCAGTGGCGAGGAAAGAGAAAATAAGGTGCTAGAAATGATAATAAAATAATGATAACGATAAGCAAACACTGAACTGCGTCTCCGAACGAGTATTTTTGTGAACTGAATCAAAAGATTCGGAATGAATCACACTGCTGTGCGGTTCTGAATCTCCCGCGGTCAGCGCGCAGAAGCGGCTCAGCCCTCTCCTGCTGGCGTTTTCAGAGTGGGCGGGTCTTAGGGCGCTGTGAGACTTCTGATTGGTCGCGTTCCAGCCGCGCATGCTCAGTGACCCCACCGCCTCATTCTGTATTTACAGCTAGTGAAAATGGCCGCTACAGATGCTGCCGAGATTTCACAGAGACAAACAAAAACTACTTTCACACTCGACTAAATGAAACGGATGCAACGCGAACGCTGTGAGGGAATATTGTATAACGCAAAACGGAGTTCATTTCGTTCCGTGCCGTCCCTGAAGTGTTGTTTAACAGTGTAAGCGCTAATTTTAGCTCAAGCTAACAGTCGCGAGCGCGCGCCTGTGTGTGTTTGGGCTCGAGCAGAACCGGAGAGTCCAATGGCTGACCCGAGAAAAGTCCCGTTCGTCACGCTCGCCTCATTCAGCACCACACCGGCGGCACCCGAGTCAAAGAAGCGCCGACGGGAGGACGAAGAGAATCAACCGAGTGCCGGTGTGACCGGCGGGGGGCTGTTCGGTACCGGGAAACCGGCATCGGATCACGGCGAACCCGAACCCACCGTCCGCCTCAACCTGAGCCTGTCAGAACCGAGCGAACAGCGATCAGCCGAGTTCCACTACAGCGAGCTGGTCCAGTCCAACCTGCAGGTGGGTTAGCGGTAACGGCTCTGGAAACGGTTGTGGGTTCGAACCCAGAGAACCGAACATGTCCTAATGTACTGTGAGATACTTTAGAAAAAACTTTTTTTAAATTATTTTTATTTAGTACCAGTGTTGGGGGGTAACACATTACAAGTAACGCGAGTTACGTAACCAGATTACTTTTTTTCAAGTAACTAGTAAAGTAACGCATCACTTTTAAATTTACAAGAAAATATCTGAGTCACTTTTTCAAATAAGTAACGCCAGTTACTTTGTTTTCTCATGTAATGACTGACAGCTCTCCTTTTCTCATGTTGAGAGAAATCCGGAGTAAATACCTGTGATCAGCAAGGGTGAGCAGCTCTATAAAAGCAGACGTTTGGCAGCTTGCTGGTCTGGAGACTTCAGGTGTGTGTTAACACAATGCCAAAGAGGAAAGACATCAGCAATGATCTTAGAGGAGCAATTGTTGCTGCCATCAATCTGGGAAGAGTAATACAGCCATTTACAAACAAGTTGAAGTCCATCATTCCACAGTGATTTTATTGTTTGGGGCAAAAGTGAAATCCCAGTATTTTATTTATTTATTTATTTAAATAATATAAACACTTTCGAATGAATCTAAAATAATTATGATCAATTAATAATTTGATGTAACAGAAAATGCTGGATTTGCTTATTTAAAATCAGCAGTGGAGACTTCAGAGGATTTGAAAAAGGTTTCATTGATGTAAAATACTAAATGGTATTTAATATAAATCCACTTTAGCAATTTAGACAATTAATAAATTATTTACAGGCCTCAATTTTTAATTGAAGGGAAGTAAGAATAGCAATAAAAGACCTATAGATGAAAAAAATTAACATGTTTGAAATGCACTTTTAATTGTTTATTAAATAATAGCTGCACAGTGAAGGAAGACTCGCTCAGTCACTGGTCGCCACTTACTGGTGTAACACACAGAAAGACTACATTTACATTTTCTATATAAAACACTTGTTAACATACGATATTGCTAAACCACCAACAAACGCAATAAAAGCAGTGGCGAGGAAAGAGAAAATAAGGTGCTAGAAATGATAATAAAATAATGATAACGATAAGCAAACACTGAACTGCGTCTCCGAACGAGTATTTTTGTGAACTGAATCAAAAGATTCGGAATGAATCACACTGCTGTGCGGTTCTGAATCTCCCGCGGTCAGCGCGCAGAAGCGGCTCAGCCCTCTCCTGCTGGCGTTTTCAGAGTGGGCGGGTCTTAGGGCGCTGTGAGACTTCTGATTGGTCGCGTTCCAGCCGCGCATGCTCAGTGACCCCACCGCCTCATTCTGTATTTACAGCTAGTGAAAATGGCCGCTACAGATGCTGCCGAGATTTCACAGAGACAAACAAAAACTACTTTCACACTCGACTAAATGAAACGGATGCAACGCGAACGCTGTGAGGGAATATTGTATAACGCAAAACGGAGTTCATTTCGTTCCGTGCCGTCCCTGAAGTGTTGTTTAACAGTGTAAGCGCTAATTTTAGCTCAAGCTAACAGTCGCGAGCGCGCGCCTGTGTGTGTTTGGGCTCGAGCAGAACCGGAGAGTCCAATGGCTGACCCGAGAAAAGTCCCGTTCGTCACGCTCGCCTCATTCAGCACCACACCGGCGGCACCCGAGTCAAAGAAGCGCCGACGGGAGGACGAAGAGAATCAACCGAGTGCCGGTGTGACCGGCGGGGGGCTGTTCGGTACCGGGAAACCGGCATCGGATCACGGCGAACCCGAACCCACCGTCCGCCTCAACCTGAGCCTGTCAGAACCGAGCGAACAGCGATCAGCCGAGTTCCACTACAGCGAGCTGGTCCAGTCCAACCTGCAGGTGGGTTAGCGGTAACGGCTCTGGAAACGGTTGTGGGTTCGAACCCAGAGAACCGAACATGTCCTAATGTACTGTGAGATACTTTAGAAAAAACTTTTTTTAAATTATTTTTATTTAGTACCAGTGTTGGGGGGTAACACATTACAAGTAACGCGAGTTACGTAACCAGATTACTTTTTTTCAAGTAACTAGTAAAGTAACGCATCACTTTTAAATTTACAAGAAAATATCTGAGTCACTTTTTCAAATAAGTAACGCCAGTTACTTTGTTTTCTCATGTAATGACTGACAGCTCTCCTTTTCTCATGTTGAGAGAAATCCGGAGTAAATACAGAGGCGTGTGAATGTTACTGTAGATCTAGACTAAATGTGAACGTGCATTTATTCATAACATTTGCACAGATTCAGATTCAGTATTACAGTAGCTGCTTAAACTGTTCCTGCAATGATGTGTGACGTAAGTGTGTGGTTCAGTTGTTATTAAATATCTGAGCTGGAAAGGTTGTAGGTTCAACCTAGTGCTGGGCGGTATACCGGGTTCATACCGAATACCGGTGTTTATTTTTGTTATGATATGAATTTTGAAAATACCGCAATACCGGTGTATGTCACTTAAACAACGTTCGGAACGTGACACTGTTTGAAAGGGGTCCCTTTTCACTGTTGCACTGTGGTGAGGGAACAGCTGTATGTGTTACTAAGCGTGAAAGTTCCGAAACTGAAGCTGTAGAACTAATAGAACGTGATGACACAGAAGAACTCATCCACAATATCCACATTGACCGCCACAAATATCCACCGCCCCCTGCCATCAGCTCCCGCGTCTCACACACACATGAGCGCGACTTTAGCACTAGATTTAGCAACTTTCAGACCCTTTTAGCGGATTTTTTCCATAGAATATTCATACTGACAAACCTAGCGACTTTTTTGGATAAACCTTAGCTATGGTTCAGTTGGAAGATTTCGCCAGTGCTGTCCCGCGAACGCAAGGTCTGACTTTCCCGGAGAAGTGTCACCTCTCTCGGCGTCTGTTCTGTGCAGTGAGCGGCAGAGAAGCAGCGCATTCAGACTCGTCAATAAATGAGTACAAATCAGCGTTTCCTAGCACCTGTCGCTTACTGATTGTTTGGAATTATAAATATGAGCGTAGTTCGTCTGTTAATATCACCTGCACTTTTTTGTTTGTTGTTTTTTTTGTTTGTTACTCAGATGCAGGCAGTGCGCTGCATGAGACAAAAAAGTAATCTAGCCAAAAGAACCGCATAGCCGCTCTTTAGTGTTAGATGCATGTGGATTTTATCAGACGATGCCGCGATTATAAATGAGAGTGACTCCTGGTTAACGTATTAAAAGGGGTTGTGTTTAGTCACTATTTAGTGTGGTATTTTTTGACAATATTCACTCATCATGACAGTAAAATAGGGCATTCTAAGTCAATATACTGCAGTATTTCCTCTCTCAATCAGTAGAAAATATGGTTAACACCTGGTCATGCATGGAAAAAAAAATACTGTCATGTACCGTGAAACCGGTATAATTTTGAAAAATACCGTGATATACATTTTTGGTCATACCGCCCAGCACTAGTTCAACCCCATTTTCTCCATAATAGGAGAATCTGTCATGAATGTAAAAAGAAGTATCAGTTAATTTAGTGTAAAATAGTTACTGCATCAGTAGTAATGACGGGTGGTGTAGTGTTTGAGATTGAGCCAGTATTGCTAAAGGTTGTAGGTTTGAACCCCAGTTGCATGGTGCTTTTCTTTACAGTCTCTCCTCAGTTTTAGGATAAGAACGCAATTTTTAACTGTTTATTTATTGGTCCGGTGATATTTGGTTTGATTTTAGCTTGACAGATCTGGCGTTTTATTCGTTTTATGTCAGTACAAAATGTAGTGGCAGGCAGCCCTGTTATTAAATGTTTTCTGTTTTCAGTTTTTGGTATGTATTCAACACTCTACATTGCGGGTAAATCACTCGCATATTAGGGTTGTGACGGTGAGGAAATTTTCCCACCGGTTAATCGACGTGTGACAACACCGGTAATACCGGTATCACCGCGGGGGCGGGGCGTTCCCTCTTTTCCTTCGCTTTTAAATAGCTTGTAAAAGCAGCGTGCGCATTTTACTTTCACTTTGAATTAGCGGCAGTTCGGTGTCAATTGCTTGAAGGCAACAACAAAATACAACGTCAAACTCACTTTAGCCTATATATAAAACATAGAACTTTTATTAACAAAACAAATACAAATACACCATGCTATAGGGCAGGCTATGCCTAATATAAAATAACCAATAACTTACATAAAGTTTAAATAGGTATACAAAACTGGAAATAGGCTAAGTAAACATGTAGGCTATAATATATAACCAAATAAATAAGAAAAGTAGAACGTTTATTAGCAAAACGAGTAAGAAAGCTTGGAGGCACGGCATACATAATTGTCTCTGTTTTCCGTCTGTCTGACGCGCGTGCATTAGTTGTTGCAGCCCTAGAATAAACAAAAATCCATAACAGTATCTGTTCGCATTTGGGACTATAAATGAGTTAATTTCGTTTGCTCCTAAAGGTGAGGAAGGTTCCTCAGGGTCTCACTTCAGCTCTGGACCCCAGCGACCCGTTTGCAGATGAAGACAAAGAGCGGCAAGAAGTCGAGGCTCTGGCCAGGAAATTTGAGAGCAAATATGTATGTAATCTTTCATATGATGTCTTTCGTTCGAGAGTCCGTCCACTTGCATTTTTATTTACGCAGAAAGCTCTTAAGTCTTGATATGTTAAAGAAATATTATAATGTGTTATTGACTTTACATTGAGGTTAGTGTGTTATCGTCTCAGGGAAGCACTGTTAAGAAGAAGAGACGAGACCGGATGCAGGATCTCATCGATATCGGTTACGGCTACGATGATACGGATCCGTTTATCGACAACTCTGAGGCCGTGAGTATGAGAGGGAGCTTCATTGATCCTCACGGACAAATTCACTGCTGACTGCCTCCCGAAATGCTCTCAATCACTGGGTTGTGCCGATAGACGATAGTATCATGTATCGACGATAGCAGATGTTTAAAACCCCAAATAGTTATGAATTAGCCTATGACAAGTACAGAGAGTCTCTCTCTTGCCCCCACACACCCATGCACGATAATATCATGCATTGGCGATCTCACAGGCTGGCGATATGGAAAATTACCATATCACCCAACACTAATTAACACTAACACGTCATCTCCCAAATGACAAAAAACTACTTTGAAATCCAGTCTGACCCATCATTCTTATGCATATGTGAAAATGTGTATTAAAGTGTTTTTCTGATAAATGTATGACTGTATGGAATATATATTTAGCTCATTGATGCAATACAATAATAATGGACTAATAATAATTTGGACTACGAATAATTTTGCATTCAAAATGTTATCATTCTAATATGCTGACATGCTGTTCAAGAAACATTTTATTATTATTATTATTATTATCAATATTTAAAACACTTGAGTACATTTTTTTTCAGGATTCTTTGATGAATAGAAATATCAGCATTCATCTGAAATAAAACACATTTGTAACATTATACACTCTACCATTCACAAGCTTGGAGTCAGTATTGTTATTTTTTTTTTTTTTTGAGGGGAGGGGGGTTATATAAATTAATACTTTTAAATTATAAATTTAAGTCACTTTTCGCCACCTAGTGGCGAAACAATGCAAGCGACACAAACGTTATGTGGCAGTTACTTTCAAAAGCGGATTTGCTCTATTTTGGTCCCGCTACCATAGACATCAATGTTTATATCTGAATTATAAACTTTCATCCCAGTATTTCTGTGATAATATTAATGACTGTACGAAATAATACTGTGTAGTTGAAAAGACTGTTTGTGAAGCTGTTTCTTAACCAAACATGGTAACTGCTCTCTCTGTGTCAGCGGCAGTGCGAACGCAGATTTGGTGATCATCTTCATCACGTGCAGCCTCATCCTCGCTGTTATAGCAGACAGGACACATTATATAGAGAGCCACAATTATGGTTTATCAGTGCTAATTTATGATAGGGTTGAACATTTAATCAAAAAATCTAATTGCAGCATGACCTAGTATGACAATTAAACCATCGAATAATGAAATACACATATGCAGGGCTCTACAGTGCGACCATTTCAGTCGCATTTGCGACTGAAAACTACTGCTTGCGACTATGAAATTTTTTTAGGAGCACCAGTGCGACTGACCAGATCATCATCATACTTGTGATTGCGCTCAGCTTTAGTGTAGATGCATATTGATTTTATCAGACATGTTATCATTACAGTAAAATAGGGCATTCTAAGTCAATATACTGCAGTATTTCCTCTCTCAATCAGTAGAAAATATGGTTAACACCTGGTCATGCATGAAAAAAAAATACCGTCATGTACCGTGAAACTGGTATAATTTAGAAAAATACCGTGATATAAATTTTTGGTCATACCGCCCAACACTAAATCTTACCCTTGTCCTGCTCCTCCACTTTGTCATCTTTAGAGGAACTAATTGAAGCCTGAACGTCCTGAGGTTGGAGGACGTCCTGCTCCAGCTGTTCCTCTACAACAGGGAGGACTTCAGAGGCTGGAGCTTCATGAAGATCATGGAATCTTTACAATAGGGATGTGTTATAGACAAATAATATGAATAAAATATTGCACTCACATCACAGTATTTTT